TAAAAGAGTAGCCCAAGAGTTGGCGGTGGGTGGTGATGACTAGCTGCCTTCCCTCTAGTCTTACACTGCTAAATTAGGGACGGCTAGCGCAGATAGCCCTCGTGTAGCTTTGCGCGAAATTCAAAAAACAAACAAAAACAAACTGTAGTATGGTGACTGGTATTATTTTAACCTCCTATTAGTTTAAGTTCTCACTTTAGTTAACCCTCTTGCAATGGGTAGGTCAAAGTGCATATGTCATTATGATTTACAGAGTTATATTCAAAATTTAATTAAACTACTTTATTATCAATGTATGCAAATAAACTTGACATTAAAAGGTAGTTATTAAATCAAATTTTAATATTATATAAGTTTTAAGTTTTAATTTTATAAGGAAATATTTTTATAAATTCTCAATCTCCTCTAGTTTGAGAATTGTGATATATGTTCTCTAGGTCTTCCTCCCTTCTCTAATTTATTTACAACCCCTCTCTGGAGTACAGAATTTAATATAAATTACTCATTACAATATAGATAATACTAAAGCAATGTCTAATTTGTATAGTCTTTAATCTTATTTGTTTACGAAATCATGAACTATAAAAACAGACCCACTTGCCATGCCCACCTGTCTCATCCTCTCTTTAACAGATTGCCAGTAATTCTGTGACATTTTATACTACATCATGTATAACTAATAGAATGAATTATAATGCTACATTGTTAACATTATAGAAGATTGTCAGTTTAATCTTCAGTTTGAAAGTTTATCTCATGGTGTTCAGATTGAGCAGAAAAGGGAGCTACTTTAAACCCCTCTTAGTTAGAAAGCTAGTTAAATTATAATAGTAACAGGACATTGTTTGCTTTGTGCATGTTATTATTCTGTGTTTTTAAGTGCATTATTTAAGTAAATAAAAATTATTTAGTGTACTAGTACTGTTAGTATAAAAATAAATAGCAGTCTTAAATTTCATTGTCAACTGACAACAAAAAACAATTTCAAAGTTAAGTACTTTATTTCTTGTTTTTTATTTATATTCTTTATTTGTTGTTATGAAAGTAACTAAAATGTAAAAATTAGAAACTTACTAGGTTAGATAAGATTATGAAAAATAATAAAAAAATCTTAATGAGGTATGCTTGTAAGCAGCTTATGCATTTCATCATTCAATGTGGTAACATGAGCTACAAGATTGCTATGTGAGTTACAACATGTGGCAGAATTATTAATTAGATATGGTTCAAAGGGCAATCAAATTATAAGAATAAGTATAAACGGATGTATACATTTAAGAGCCTTAAGCTATCTAAGATAAACAGTTGTAGTTTTCTGTTACAATCAGCAGTCATTTTAGAAAGAAAGAAGGGTAATTTAGGTTTATTTTGTATTTTTTTATGGTGGTCAGTCAACTCAACTGAGTCTATAAAGAGTTAAGGTAGAGAAGACAACATAAAATATAATCTTACTGAAAGAAAACATTTGATATTTAGTTAAAAAGTTTTACAGGTTGTACAAATGAAATTTGAAAATTTTCACATGAAGAAAAGTATTTCTAATCTTAACGTGAAAATCACTTTGCACTTGAAGCAGTCAACATTCTGACTCTCTATATTTGTGGACAAATCTTTACCAAAAATACTTGTAATGTTTGCTGAAAGCTTGACAAATTTCATGAAGGTACACAAGACATATTAAAAGTTATAATATGGAACGTGATGGTTACTTTGTGGTTACAAGGTCAGTCATATATAGAAAGAATTAGTGCAAGCTGATTAACAGTTCTTTATGTA